CATATTTGACACAGGAGAGGTAGAACTGTAGCAATTGTCCCAATGCCCTCAGGCTCTGACACCTCGATGCTCGCGGCAAGCTAGCTAACCGAAAGACGCTCCATCAAGACACGGCGCCCCCCCACAGGCTTAAGCTGAACTTATTAATGGTCGCGCGTGCACCTCGGGCTAGCCGCGTCAGTCAGCCTCTTCGGCACCCAGGTGACCCTGTCATCCGACACCCAGACGCGGCCTTTGACGCAACCAATCACGCGCACCACAGCCAGACAATCACGTCCCCACGAACAGACCCAGTTTACCAAATAAATTGTTCCTAACCAGCGGATTGCCTTCTTCCATTAGACGGAACGATCTTAGTGTTTGTGTTTACAGTAGATCTTTCATACTTGATCGCAACAGGACCGTACAAGCAGATACACTTATTGTACGAGTGCTTTCGGAACAGATTGATGCCAGGAGGCGTTAACACGACTATGGACAGAATAGTGAGATATGCAAGTAGTTGGTCGCAGTTCTGACCGATTACTGCCACCGGCATGTACAGGTAAGATTATTGGGCGGCATAGAAGAATATGTCCGTATTCTAGGTGACTGAATTGCCAACGATCTTGGGAAGACAATCTATATCCTGATGGATCACAGACAAGCCAGTAAAACGGGCATCTGTAACCTGAGTTACAAATTTAGAGGCATCGCGTACCATTGGATATATTGTGGGTTCACTGGGAACTTCAATTTAAAGCAATTCGCCCTCAAAATAGCCGTTAGGGTTTCGATCACAAAGAAGCTAGACCACATGTCCCATTCGGTGCGTTTTGAAATACATAAACGAGCAGTGACGGCAAATGGCAGGGTGTCGATGTGTGATAGATCAACGACAAGCGGTTTACTAGCTCAACCTTAAGCAGCACAGTCTACCGCAGCAGGAAGCGTACAAATGAGACAGAAATCGACAGTTGCGCGAGGTATGGAAGTGCGTCTGAGTCATATCCAGCCCCGACCAGTAACAGTACACAAGCTAATGTCTGAGTCACACCCAAAGCAAATCGG